CCCCTCGCCGGGAGAGGCCCCCCCCCGGCCTCGCTCACCCCAACAAGCGGCGAAGGGTGGAGCGGTGCCCGAATGCGGGCTGGGACAAGCCCCGGGGGGGGTTTGCTGCTCACCGCCGGGGCCCCGCACCCTGGTTTCTGAGGCAAAGCAACCCCGCGTGGCTTGGGCTGCAAAAGCCACTGGCGCAGCGCTGGCTGCACACCGGGTACAAAGGGCCCTGTGCCATCTGGGACAAGGGCTATGTCACACTGAAAACTAACTAACAAACAAAAACCCCAAAACCCCTTCTATAAACAGGTTCTGTCCTGCGGTTCCACCATACCGACACCGATGAAAAGCCCGGCGCGAGTCATGCATATGTGTAACTGGAAAAAAGCCACAAAGCTTAGCAAGAACTAAGGCGACCGAGTCCGTCAGTCTTGCGTACTTTCACCTTCCTTTCTGTTCTCCATTTCTCAAAGTTTCTGCTTCTTTAGTCTTCGGCTTGTGAAAAATTTGTTTTGCAACTGAAAAAAAAAAAACAAAAACAAACCAAACTTATTAAGCTACCTCTAAGTTCCTCTTTTCTTCTAGCAAAAAATTAATTCTAGGTCATTCAAGTAAGAAACCTGTGCTATCATTTCCCTGCTGGCACTAAAAGCCCTTAAGAGGCCTCACGGCATGACTTCTGTCTGCCAATACATTCTCGCATTTACTTTTCTTCGCACACAGCTGAAAAATTCCTTCCAACACCACTCGCGTCTCCGCTGCTGACGCGTACCCTACCACACAGACCCACTCCTGCACGAGGCCTTCACCCGCTTCGCTTCCCCAGCACGGCAGCCGCGTTGTTGGGCATCCTGCAGCGCACCACGCGTCGCTATTTAACGCTGCTCAGTCATCGGGTGTCTCCATGGCAGGGAACTGACAAAGAGCGGCTGCGGCCACACATTTATCTACCAGCATCTGCTTCTGCATTCAAACTTCTAGGTGTTTTTGACGGAGCTTACGTTTCAACAAAAGGCAATCCTGTTAATTTACTGAACTGGAAACGTTCCAACCTGCTCTCCTTTTTCTGCTTTTGACGCATCTCTTTTTATTGCCCCGACGCAACCACAGCTCAAGCCCAAAGGAACCTCCAGGCCTCCCTGCTGCCCTGCAGGTACGCGCACCGACCCCGCACCCCGCCGCCTCTTCCCTGACCGCCTCACAAGTCAGCGTTTTCTGCTGCTGACACAAATTACCGAGGACGCAGGCCGTGGCGCTGCACAGCCCAATCCAGCGCCAGCCACGTGCCCGTGACAGCACAAACCATACGCAACCCGCAGTTACGCGCCATCGAGGAGAAAGGCTT